TTGGCCGGAGCGCGGGCCGCCTGCCCTCCCCTCCCCTCGGACGCGGCGTCTGGGCTGCGCGGGGTTCGGGCCGGCTCGGCCGCTCCCTGTCCTCCTGGGCTGCAGCGACGGGCCCCCGGGAATTGCCCCGCAGGGCCTCTCGCCTCTCAGTGTCCGAGCCGGAGTCCCAGCCCTTCCCCTCCCGGCTTCCTGGAACCTGCCCGGCCGTGCGAGGAGACAGGGGGCAACTTAGGTCCCCGCGAGGCAGCCCCGGCCCAGACGCTGTAGCTCCCAGGCCGGGCGGCTCGCTGTGGACCGGGGCTGGGGCGTGGGTCCGGGCCGGAGTTCGGGTGGAGGAGGGAATTCCCCCTGCCAGGCCGGTGGAGTGGCGGGAATAGGAGCCCGATGTGACCTCCTGGGCTGCCACTGCTCCGGGGGTCTGGACGCCGCCCTAGATGGTTTCTGGAGCCGGCCTAGAGTGGGAGGTAGGGGAGACTGGGAAGGATCCAGCTCCTTTGTGTGTGTGTGTGTGTGTGTGTGTAAGAATCCCCTCCCAACCCCTTCCCGCACACCTCAGCCTGGCTAAAGATTATCCTGGGGGTTTTGGGCTGGGGCACTCGAGGCTGAATCCAGCTCTCACTTCTGGTTTTAAAGATGGAGGATTTGATTTCTTCCCTAGACCTCAGGGGTGGTCGGCAAGGTACAGCGGCCCCTGGGTCATCTGGAAATCTAGAGAATGATTGAGGAGAGGGCAGCTGTTTTGTCCCAGGGAAGGCCCCAGGAGTTCCATGCTCCACTCCAGGCCTCGTGTGGGGTTTGGTTGCCATTCTTAGGGTCAGCGGGGCAGTTCCTCAGGGGCTGCCTCTCACAGGGAGGTGTTGTCCTTGTCATCTTGGCCTTGGGCTTTCTGGCTTGGCCTGGCCTCAGTCAACTGTTCTTCTGGCCCAATCAGAGCCTGAAGGGAAGGTCTTCTAATTGAGCCGGGGGCTCCAGATCATTTAATGCATGTCCTTGCTCCTCTGCCCCCCACCATCTGGTGCCACCTAAACTGCCCTGCTGGGGGAGGGCAGTGGCATACTCATGCCTGAGCAACTGGTATTCACCCCAGTGGTGAATACCCTCTATCCCTACATCAACACTGCCCATCCCAACTTGGGGCTACCCCAGCCTGTCTTCCCACAGTTGGACCAATAGAACTAGTGGGAATGGGTGAGGGGGTTGGTCACCTGGGTAGAATTTCTAGGGACTCCCCTTTTTGAAGGATGGTTTCCATAAGGGTGAATACCTTCTTGCCCCTCTTTTGGGGTATCTGGGAGAGCCCCTTTTGTGGGAGGGAGAATGTGGCTGTGCACTCTCAACGCCTATAAATTCTCTCTGACTCATATCCACTTCCCCTCATCCCAGTTTTGTTTGTGTGTGTGTGTGTGTGTGTGTGTGTGTGTGTGTCGGGGATGGGGGGCAGGGAGACACCCCCAGGATCTCACTGTTGAAAAGAACTAGCCTTGGGCTGGAGTATTCGCTTCCTAAAAGGCAGACCAAGGCAGGGGTGTGAGGCGGTGGTGGTATGTGGGGAGTAAAGGAGTTCAGCCTAGTTTGACAGGATGTGGGACTGAGAGAAAAAGCCAGGTTTTGGGCAGAGATCGGGTTACCATCCTCTTCTTTCTTAACTACTCCCTCCCTGGTTGGTGCTGGGACTGGCCCTCATTTGTCTTTTTTGGGGGGCTCCTCCCAGCAGCGGCTCTAGTCCCCCCTCCTCCCAACAGCCTCCACTTCATCTCAGCTCCAGAGCCCGCCCTCTCTTCCTCCTAGACTGTGGGCCTGGGAACTCCAGCCGGCTGGAGGTCAGCTCCTCTCCCCGGGGAAGGAGGAAGTGAGGCTCAGCTCAGGGGCAGGGAATCAAATCGGGGAAGGTGTGATGAACTGTGCAGATGCTCTTCGGTGTGTGTTGGGAGTGAGGGACACATGGAAACCCCGGGAAGCTGACTCTTTGCCCTGAGTCACAGGGAGGGGTGGGCAGGGCCTCTGGGTGAGCTGGACAGAGAGGGAAGGGGCTGTTCCAGGAAGTGGATGGAGGTGATTCCCTAGTGGATTATTCTCAGTCACTCTGCTGTGGTAGATGTGTGGCTCCCTACAGTGTGGTCATTGTCCCCTGCCTGGGGCTGAGTGACCCAGTGTTGCTGCCAGGCCCAGGAGGAAGGGGGGAGGAAGGCAGGCTGCCCGAATGTGGGCTGTGGGCACTGCCCAGACTGAGCCTCCTTTGTGTGAGTTGAGGCTCTGGGGATGGGGATGGGGTGGGCCAGGGAAGCCGGCTGGCTATTGCCGCTGCCCTCTGTCTGGGACTCCCTCCCTCTGCTCTCCTTTGCACCTCTGGGGTGGTATGTAGAAAAGGCAGCAGATTCTGGAGTCGCACAGCCCTGCTTTGAGTGCCATCCCTGCTATGACCCTGAATATGTGTCTTACCCTCAATGAGCCTCACTTTCCTAGTTTGTCAAGGTGCCCATCATAGTGCCTGGCACCTAGGGGTGCGATATGCTTTCCCTTGCCCACCCGCCAGCCTGTGGTCTTGGAGAGGGACTCTTTGTTTCTCACTGGGCAGGCATGACTTGTGCTGAGTGAGGGACAGTGTGTTCCAGATTAGACCTTCTCGATGATTAAACTTTAAAAGTATCGAAATCCTGGTAACAAATAAGTCTGACTTGAAACCCTGATATGATAAAAGCTGGCTCTCTGGACACGTCCCTAAGCACCTCGCTAGGTGTCCAGGGGCCCACAGTTTTAGTGGATTAGATTAGAACTCATGCTTTCTGGCTCCCAAGTGGGTGGTCCTCCCACCTCCCACATTTGTATTCTCACCTACTGGGGAGACCTGTCCCTGACCCTGAGGTCAGGAATTTCAAGCTCAGTTGCCTGAATAATTGGTCCTTGGCAAGAACATGCCTGAGCAAGCCCCACTCCTTCTCTCTGGATGCCTCAGTTTCCAGGGGGGTTTGGGGGGCCCCAGAGTGTTTTTGGACTCACTGGCTTTCCCCAACATCCCCACTGCCTCTTCCCCGCCAGCCCCAGCCATGGCTGCAATCCGAAAGAAGCTGGTGATTGTGGGCGATGGGGCCTGTGGGAAGACCTGCCTCCTCATTGTCTTCAGCAAGGATCAGTTCCCAGAGGTCTACGTCCCTACTGTCTTTGAGAACTACATCGCAGACATAGAGGTGGATGGCAAGCAGGTAAAGCAAGAGCCTCTTCCTGTCTCACCCTGAAACCCTGCCCCTGTCACTTACAGATGACCTAGGTCCTCATCACTGCTGACCTTGCTCCACTGCCCCTGCTGGAATCAGCAGGAGTTAGGAAGAGAAACTGCAGTCTTAGGAAATCTGGATAACCACCTGGTTCTTCACACACTAGCTCTGTAATCTGGGCCCAGTCCCTTCGCCTCTGGGCTTAAGCTCCCTCAGCTGTAAATTGGGAATAACGGGAAGGTCTCCTTCGAAGGGTTTTTGTGAGCATTAAATACAACAGTGGTGCTCACAATGGCAACTCAGACGGCACAAAGATCAAGCCCTGTTGTCTCAGGATTTTAAAGACTCACCTAATTTTTGTGGTGTAACAACAAGCATGGTCCCTGGCACACAGCACGTACTCAGTAGCTAGATGTGCAGTGAACCTTAAAGGACCATGATTTCAGAGAGGACTTCTGGGTGGCAGGTTGCGGGGGGTTGTGAGGGAGGTGCCTGGGCCAACTAAGCACTGGCCCTGTGTGTCAGGTGGAGCTAGCTCTGTGGGACACGGCAGGACAGGAAGACTACGATCGCCTGCGGCCTCTCTCCTACCCGGACACTGACGTCATCCTCATGTGCTTCTCCATTGACAGCCCCGACAGTCTGGGTGAGGGTGTTGGCTGAAGGGAGGGGACTGAGAATTTCTGGGACTCAATCTACCAGAGGGAGCTCTTGCCTTAGCTCATCTCAGCCACTTCAGAGGCTGTGGGAGGGGTGCTGGGAGTCCCATTAGCCTCCTTCACTGTGGTAACTGGCCCTCGGAAGAACTTAGGGGAGGGGTTTTGATCTGTGAAAGGGATGGTCATGCTGAAGAGCCTCGAAGACTCTGCCTGCCATGGGGAGACAGAGGGGGCCTGGGGGGGAGCTCCATAGCCTAAGTGGAGGCACTGACATGACACCCATTGGGACATGCCTGCAGAAAACATTCCTGAGAAGTGGACCCCTGAGGTGAAGCACTTCTGCCCCAACGTGCCCATCATCCTAGTGGGGAATAAGAAGGACCTGAGGCAAGATGAACATACCCGGAGGGAGCTGGCCAAGATGAAGCAGGTGGGTGTGACTGCCAGGCTGGGAGCCCTTGGGGAGGAAGGTGCCCTCCACGGGCTTGCAGGCTGGTATAGAAGGGAGTCTCTCCCCTGGTGACTCCCTGTGTTAGGGGTGACGTTGGGGTCCACCCTACCCCCTTGTGTCCACACCTGGAGAGGGAGAACAGGAAGGGCCCTTAGTGTCTGATCCAGTATTTGATGAAACTGGCACAGGATGAAGTGACTTGTCCAAGGTCACCTGGCATTTTAATTTGTCTTTTGTCCATTCTGTGTGTGGTGTTGGGACTATTTAGGTAATTAAGAAAACCTGAACCCTCAGGGAGCCAGCTTATGATAGATGTTTTGCTTGAGGTGTGCAGGTCGTGCCACCACAATATAGCCGGGGAGGCGTGGGCTGGCGAGGATGTGGGAGGGAGGGTATTCTAAGAGGCTGGAAGAAAGGCCCCAAGTGAGGGTGAGGGAGCTGGCTTATTTGGGAGCTTGGTAAGTGGATGATCTCTAATCAGAGGATGACTTTATTAGGGACAGCTGCCAGGATGAGGAATATGGACTATCCTGCAAGGACAATTTAGACAAGGTTTTAAACTGGGGACACGTATGGTCAGGTCAGCATGTTAGAAAACTGATTCTGGCACCCTTGAGGATGGACTGGAAGAAAGTGAGAACGGAGGCAGGGACGTCAGATAGATGGCAGATACTCCTTTAGGCAAGAGAAAGGGTGTCCTGTGGGGTGTAGGGCCAAGAAAACTTTGGAAGTAAACGTGAGCCTTGGGTCTTGAGCTCAGAAGCTGCCCACGGTGGCTGGGGCTTGGGTGTTCTGTGGGGTCAGGGCTGGAAGAGATACTTGTTCTAGTTACAGTTAGGGGTTGGTTACAGATGGGAGTGAGGTGCACCTAGCCAGCAGCTTCCTTTTGACCTGTCACCTTCCACCTTTCCAGGAGCCAGTTCGATCTGAGGAAGGCCGGGACATGGCGAACCGGATCAGTGCCTTTGGCTACCTTGAGTGCTCAGCTAAGACCAAGGAGGGGGTGCGGGAGGTGTTTGAGATGGCCACTCGAGCTGGCCTCCAGGTCCGCAAGAATAAACGCCGGAGGGGCTGTCCCATTCTCTGAGACCCCCCAAGGCCTCCCCTACTACCCCGCCTCCCTTCGCAGGGGTGCAGAACCCCCCCCCCCGCAACCTCCGAACTCCCTCTAATTAGGGATCCCTGCTGAAGGCCCCCTTTCCCAATTCCCTCCTGCCCAGGACTGCATCGTATCCTCAGCCCTGGTGGTGGTGGCCTGGTGGCCGTAGGCCCTCCCTCTCAGCACTCTGGGACCTTAGGGCTATGTCCTGCCCTTCCAGAGCACAGTCCCTCCTCAAGTTGCCTTGGTCCAGGGGTGGGGCTCTTGATCCCTTGGCCTTCCCCAGAGGATCATCACACACCAGCACTTTATACACTTCTGGCTCACAGGAGAGTATGTGGGGCAGGGGTCTTGGAAGGTGTAGCCCAGAGTCCCGGGCCCCTGGTGTTTCTGCTTTGGGCAGGGGCCTTGTCTCTGGCTATACTTGGTGGGGGCATGAATAAAGGCCACAGGCTCCAACACGTGTGTAGCTTCCTGACTTTCTCTCCTGGTCCCTGTCTTGGCTCTAAGCCTGCAGTCCCATCTCTCCAAGTTGCTTGCCAGGTTGGCCCTCTTGTCTGCAAAGGCAGGCAGGGTGGAGTCTTGGAGAAAAGAATGAGGTCATGCCTGGCTCTGGGCCTTGGAGGCGGGTGAGGGGAGTGGTCTGGGAGCAGGGGCTAAACTTAGAAGCCTGTGGGTGGCTTCCCTGCCACCTCCCACTGGGTTTCCTCCCCTGGATGTGGGCAGGGGAGGAGGTGTGGGTTCCTTTCTAGCCAGGAGACGGGTATGTCCCTGGGCAGGGTGTGATAGTCCCACTCTCCCCTGTGGGGTCATCTTGGGAGTTCAGGAAGCTGGGGCCAGGCTGAGGAGACAGGAGGCTCTTGCATAGAACAAGATATTTTCAGTTTTTCTTTATCCACCTTCCCCCAATTGTTAGCAGCTTGATGTGTCATTCTTCCCCAGCAGGGGAGAGGGTGGAATGGCTGGGGATATAAACTCCCTCCCCAGCCTTCCCGTCCCTTGGGAGGGGAGGCTCAGCTGGGGTCCGGTTCAAGCTGGGGTCTGGTTCAGGGTCGGGGTCAGGTGTGTGGTTAAGGCTTGGGTGGTGTAAGAAGACCATCTGCTGTGTCCTCAGAGCTCATTCCTCCACTCTGGCTCCACCTGCAGGGACAGGCCCCCTTCGCCCTCCCGCTCCTGGGGGAGGTAGTCATGACAGTGGGGCCCTAGAAAGAAAGGAGGTGAGCTTTGTCTCAGTAACTTAGCTCCTCCCCTAGTACTGTCCCCCAACCTGGCCCCCCCTGGCCCAGCCATACCTGAGGTAGAGGGGCTGAGTTTGCTTAGACCTTGGAGTAAGTTCTGTCCCTGCTGCAGGTCCAGTTTGGCAGGGAAGGGGCACCCAGTGTACCCCCCGTTTTCTTTACAGAACTCCAGGAATCTGTGGGGCACAGGGACATTTATCACAAGCTCAGCTGCATGGGGCTGGCTGAACACGAGCAG